CAAATACGCAACTTTTTCGGGGTGGAAGCACGGTCGCGAGTGTCATGGCGCCATTCAAATTTTGTAGCGTTGATGTGTAATTAATTATAACAATTAAATTAGGTATCTGGTAACAAATATGTGTAGGTATAGACAATTTGTTATACAGTAAGTACAGTTGTAAGCAGTAAAATCCTAGAGGCTACTGTCCCTTTAAACATTTAATAACAGGGTCAAAGGTCGAAGTGCATTCTGACCATCACCCACTCCGTTACCTTCTAGAGGCAAAGTCATTACGCAATGCGAAGTTACAGCGTTGGGCGTGTTTACTTTCAGAATTCGATATAACTTTGAAATATTCGTCTTGGCCGGAAGGCTATGGGATTCCTGATAAGACAGCCGCTACGGTGGCAGCCGTCATTGTCAACAAGTTCATTCCAAGGCATGGGTGCCCTGAGATGTTTTTGACAGATAATGGCATGGAATCTTGTAATGCATTAATGAAAAAGCCTACACAAGCGATGGGAATTAAACACGTAACGACAGCCCCCTTTCACCCAGCATCTAATGGGGTTGTTGAACGCTTCCACAGAACGTTAAATTCTCTTTTGGCATGTTATCTAGGCCAGGAGCATGCAGAATGGGACAAACAGCTGGGCGGAGTTCTGTTTGCATACCGTACAGCAGCACATGACACTTCCCAGTTCACACCTTACTTTTTAATGCATGGCAGAGAAGTGAATATGCCACTAGATGTGATTCTCAAACCACGGAGAATTCAGTATGCAGATGATCCAGTTGCACAGGCAACAGAGAGGTTACATAGTGCATGGTCACAAATTTAGGAGAACACACGTGCTGCAAGAGCACGAAATAAGCTACTTTATAATAAAAGAGCTAAAGATCAGAAGTTGGCAGTGGGTGATGCAGTGTATTGGCACAGCCCAGTACTAGGACCGAATCAGACCGCCAAATTTCATTCGGCTTGGCGTCCATATTTTACGATTGTGGAGCAGGTGTCTCCATTAGTTTTTCACATTAAGCGTCAAGGACAACCCCGTACATATAGGGCACACGCTGATAGTCTGCGACCTTGCTTGCAGGTGTCTGATGCTTGGAAGATGCAGGAAGATAAGGTTGGCGCGCAAGACACTGCGAGAACACGGGATATACTCCCTAGACACGCTAAAACGGTTCGCGGAGCGGATGATGAAACGGACAGCGTTAGTAGTGAGAATTGGGAACTTGAAGACTTACTCCGATTAGCAGAACTTAGAGATTCACCTGAGAGAGGCGAATCTGCGGCTTAACTTTAAACGGTACAAGCTAGTCCAAGAGGAAGGTTGTTTCTAAAGAACTGTGTTTGAACGAAGTAGGCAGCTCCGTGTAACAGTGAAATAGCAGAGCAGCAGAATGCGCCGCGGGGGAGCGCATGCGGTGAGTAGTAAGTGGACGATTGTAGCGGTCGTAGACGATTGAAGTAGCGGCGGGGGATTCGCCCTTCTAATCACTGGGTATTCCCCACGATGAGGGAGGGATGTATCGGGAACCTGCTATTCCCAGACTCACAAACTGGATGAGCAGATTTTAGCCGCCGATCTCGCGCCGTCGTGTACCGGAACGGGTAGTGACGGGAGAGATGATGTGTTTTAATTGCAGGACTGTGAGAGTCGAAAGGACTACCCAAAATACACAGAAAGTTATTCTAAATTCCGTTATCCACCCATTCATCCTCATACAAAGTCAGCCTCACCGCCTATTGTATTCACGTTATATCCAAAGTGCATATTATGATATTTCAAGGCTAACAATACGCAACAAATTTTCGAACGATTCAATGCCGACATATATTTGTTTCACAAGCCTAGAGAATTGCACGTGTTATTGTTGTCTGTGTATCCAATGATGTAAACTCAGCCGTTGAGAGTCACGCGAATAGGTGCGCTCGGCACACACGTAGAGATAAGCACGCGTGGTAAGGGGTAGCATACAAGAGTGGTATTGGGAATTGTATGTATGTTTAACCGCGAGTGTATATTCTCATATATTTGTTTAATAGTATAAAGCGGTATATACGTTGTAACGTAAAGGATCCGTAGAATTTAGTCTACATATATGTATGGAAAAGTGCTTATAGTTAAGGACTTATATTCCGTGTAGAGATAGCTATATAGTTGACATGCTGAGTGCAGAAGGCACTACACCGATAATAACGACATAACGATAATAATGAGTCCCGCAAGGAGCATCTTATAAAGTCATAACAACTTCACCGGCTGCAGTTCTAAACGCTCCAGGTACCAACCGTTGGACGCAGTGGGATGGACAAACCACACACCAACGTGGAGGACGCCAGGGAGAGCAGCACAATGATGAAGGCCGCAGCATCTGACTAATTTCTTATAGGGGACGGTTAAGTAATGATCACCAGCGGGCGAGTCGATCGAACTTAACGAAGCCCAATGCTCGACTCGGATAGGACGCTATGATACAGCATTGTCACTATTCTATAATAGTTACGTTTACATGGTGTTTGGTTTATAAATGTCTAATTGTATTCAGTCAGGAGACTGACAAGCCGATTAAATTACCGGTTTAATCGACTTGAATATGGCAGGGTGAAATTTGGTGACGAAATTGTTATTTGCGACACAAGCACGGAAGATGATGCAACGTCGTAATAAGTCGCGTGTATTAATTACGACTAGATAGAGGCGATAATAAACGGGTGGCGTTGACGACAAGTCAGCGTGAAATATATGAGGAGATGACGATCAGAGTCGGTGTGCTCGACGCAGCATTGGGTAATAAGGGAAGTAATAAAGGACTTATCATAACCTGCAGCTAACGCAGCGACGTGCCCGGGAGTGCGGAAGCCAGCCCCGGCGAAGCTGGACAGGTCGTGAGGTCGGACAACAAGCGCGGCCGCATATAAGGGTGGTGGCATTGGGCGAACGGGGCGGCTCATGTACGATGCAACATATATGCATTCCAATAAAGACGTCTATATCATATATAATCTACACAACCTCTTCGATCATGAATGGCTACGATCACCGACCGATGAGATAAAGTAACTACAGAATACTAGGGCTACAGTATCATGTTACAGCGTGCGACCATGCTACCCGTATCATGTTATGGCGCGACCATGCTACACGTATCATGTTATGGCGCGACCACGCTACACGTATAATGTTACGGCGCGCGACCACGCTACACGTATCATGTTATGGCGCGACCACGCTATGCGTATCATGTTACAGTGTGCGACCACTCTACACGTATCATTTTACGGCGTGCGACCACGCTACACGTATCATGTTATGGCGCGACCACGCTACGCGTATAAGGTTACAGGACGCGACCACGCTACAAGTATCATGTTACGGCGCGAGCACGCTATGCGACATGACGTGGCGTGACCATGCTACGCGACATGATGTGGCGCGACCATGCTACGCGACATGACAAGGCGCAACCATGCTACGCGACATGGCGTGATGCGACCACGCTACGCGACATGATGTGGCGTGACCACGCTACACGTATCATGTTACGACGCGACCACGCTACGCGACATGACGTGGTGCAACCACGCTACACGTATCATGTTACAGCGTGACCACGCCACGCGACATGACGTGGTGCGACCACGCTACACGTATCATGTTACGGCGTGACCACGCTACACGTATCATGTTACCGTGGTCGCGCCCCACGTCATGTCGTGTAGGTGTAGCGTGGTCGCAGTATCATGTTACCGTGGTCGCGCCGGTCGCACCACGTCATGTCACGTAGCGTGGTCACGCTGTAACATGATACGTGTAGCGTGGTCGCGCCACGTCATGTCGCGTAGCATGTTACAGCGTAGTGTGACCACGCTACGCGACATGACGTGGCCCGACCACGCTACACGTATCAGGTTACGACGCGACCACGCTACGTGACATGACGTGGTTGTGACCACGCTACACGTATCATGTTACGGCGCGAGCACGCTACGTGACATGACGTGGCGCGACCACGCTACACGTATCATGTTACAGCGCGACCACGCTACGCGACATGACGTGGCGCGACCACGCTACACGTATCATGTTACGGCGCGACCACGCTACGCGACATGACGTGGTGCGACCACGCTACACGTATCATGTTACGGCGCGACCACGCTACACGTATCATGTTACTTAGCGTGGTTTCGGCATCTCTCTTCTTTT